CACTTACAATATTTTTTGCTTTGTTTTTCAAAATAAAAATGTGCATTTATTCATGCTTATTTGCCTGTGGGCTCTGCCTCGGATGGTCAAAATCAATCATTCATTAATTTTATTTATATAACGCAGCTTTTATCAACCCCCCTATTTCCTCCCATTTGCTATCGCCTCCTATCCTGCTTCCCCCTTCTATAATTTTCTGTATTCCCCCCAACTCTGCAGATCACAGCTGGATAACATATCTAACCCCTTTGCAGGTGTGGGCAAGCAAACTACGGTTCTGTTCAGTGTAGTTAATGAAAATGCAAAAAGAAATACGAACAAAAATAGCTCGCATAAAGTATTTACAATTCTCTAAGTGCTTAAATCTAACTCTGGGATATGGAATGGATAATAGCAAAGATCCTGCAACTGAGTGTTGGAGAGGCACTGCAGTATGACCAGTGCCTGCTTGATAACTCACTTGGCTTATTAGCAAAGAAAGGCAGCCGGGATTACTGCTCGCGTGCCTGTCCGGGTTCCCAGATGGTGATTAATCATGGCACTGCGGAGTACATCAATTGCAGTGGGTTAACGATTCCTAATAATGGACATATGGCCAATACTTTGCTAGCCCGAAGACCACTGCTTAGCGTGTGGTGATGATGATGGTGGTGGTGGCAGTACTGTGTGCTCGGCGGTTTCGTGTGCAGAGGGTGCAAGGGAATGAGATGGCATGCGCTGTTGAGTCAAAAATCAGAGGCACGGAAGGAACGAGGGTGGATGGAGAAGGGGCATTGCTGGTCCCTTGGATCAATCTTGATAGGCTGCACGTATGATGGTTTTTTGTTGTTGTTGCTCAGTACACGCATGCACTGCCCTCTCGCCTTTACCGTCTGATATGTGACATTGTATTAAAATCCCACGACGTCTATTATGTTCTCCTGCCAAGGGGGTGGAAAAAACCCGTGGCAATCAATCAAGACCGATGGACAAACATCCATGGCCATGTTTAAACAGTCATTGCCGATGACATTGGGTGGGTGAGTGTTTGCCCAGCACTCCATTGGAGGTCATTGTGACAATGCAAAAAAACTAGAGGGGCTGCGTGTTCTTGAAATCTGTCTCTTCACGGACTCGTATTGTCTCCACAGCCTTTGTTTTAACGTCATCCATTCGTCGTCGTCGTCATCATAATCATCCTCTCTATTGAGCATTCTGCAGAGACCATCTCTGCTCAGCTTTTATTCGTCTTTCTCTTGCGTGGTGATCGTCTCTGTACATCTTCATGTTTGCCTTCCCTTCATGCCCATTCTCAGTTGAATATGAGCACTAAAGCTTCGTGTATGCCATATGGCATTTATCTCATATTTTAATGTGACATCTTCCTTGTAGTGTGACTATACATACGAGCTTAATGCTAAATAATAATAATAATAGCAATGATAATAAAATCGGTTGATGTGCAGGATCGTGAGAAATGATGGGAGCTTGGGTGAGCCCTTCATCCAGTGGATTGACGATGGCTGATGATGATAATTCTGAATTGTAATCAGATATTTGTAATGTTTACGTTGATAAATATTCCTCTAATGTACGTATTTCAAAGCAAACTTGTGTAGTGATATAGTTAATGAAATTAATGAATGATTTTAATCATTGTAATTTACAGTACAGTACCGTATTATATTTACTCTGTCCATGAGAAATACTTGCGTCCCAATATCATATATTGAATTCCACATGCGTCCTGATTTTTGTTTTCTTAAAGTTGCAGATAAAAAGGTTCCGTGGGTATTGTGATTACACACGAATGCACAAATTACAGAAACGTCAACAAAACCCCTCATAATGCACACACGAGTATTTATTTAGCCCCATTTGCAGATTTACAGATGCATGGAGTAGTGCGCAAGCTTGTTATTAATGTTCACGGAGTCAATTTAATATTAAAAGAGTTAATTAACCTGTGGTTCATGAAGATCCATTATTTTCTGCCTCTGATGGACCACTGCCTACCCGAGCATTATTGCTCTGAGCAGGAGATGAAGGAGGAGGTACGGTGAAGCTATGTATGCTGTTCAAGGCTCGGAATGAATTACAGACGAGATGAGTGTGGCTTTGAGGGCCGAGATCGTGGTTTCAACATTGAGCCCTGGGGTTTAATAGTTAAGACCACATCTGTGCTTGTGCTCATGTGGTCTCTGTTGCTTGCAAATGTATTTTAGTACCCTGGGGTCTTTGCGACATTTGAAAGGTTTTTCAAATTTTCCAAAGATTTATATGAAATGCATTTGGTGAAATGTGCAACCGTTTCATGGATGTTGTCACCTTTGGTGGTTTCCAAATGGGGATTCGACTTTGCTCGGAGAATTACAAAACTGAGACGTGCCAAAAATGCCGATGATTGAAATCGTAAAAATATTGTCCAATGAACATAATTCTGGGGCAAATGCACTCGAGAGCTAAAGGGGGAAAAAAAGTTGGCATCCACGCATCCATCAGCATTCTTGAAACTTTTAGTGAAGCCCCGAAGCATGTGAGGTATGACAAATAGCAGCTGCAGTCAAGCTCACAAAAATGAAACTGGAAACATAATTTGGGGTACAACTATACCTATTCCATTAATTGTTCATAAGAAAATTGGAAATTCCTCCAAAAAAAACGATTGGGGAAGAAATGGTGAGTGAAAGGACTGGCCACGCGGGCACGAGATAACCCTTCACAGTGGCAGCTTTCATGCCACAAGTTGAAAATCCAAAGCTTTGGACAAGCATTTCATTATTAAAGGAAAAATATATATATAAATTTGGGAATGTGTAATATATTGCAGAATATAATATATCACAAAGTTAACACACTGCATTTCTTAAGTCACCTTTCCTATGAAGCTAAAATACATCCATTAACCCATTCATGATCATTTATCTCAGTGGTAAAAGCAATTTTGTAACAAAAATAAATTGGGAGGGTGGGGGCATTTCGATGTGCCAGAGAAATGCAGTGGCACGTTTCTCTCGATGGGAAGTAATTGTGCACCGATATCCTTTGCACAGTTTTGCGCCGCCACTGTGCATTGCAGCTCATCTCTTCTAAATAATTTGGCGTCAACTCTAGGCCATACAGTGACCTAAGCTCTCCTTCTGCCATGCAACAAAGAGTGCCAGCTGTACAAGCCTTTATTACCATAGGTCTTCCAGCATTGGTCTTCCAAGACCTGCTGGTTCTTGGGAACTCCTCTCCCCAATGCATTGGACAGATTTGTTGTTGGCTTCATCATCATTATCTTCAAAAACATCATCATCATCAACAACTTCATCATCAACCATGATCTACCTCCTATAGGCCTCCCGAAGTCACTGCAATTGCCCACAGTCCTGCAATATCGCAATCCATCAGGTTGCTTTTAAATAAGCTCATTTTATTGCTCCATTTCCACGGTGGATGTTTGTGCATGTGTCTACCATTCTGTCGTTAGTCTCGACCACCTGCCACCACTCCTCTAGTGATGTGTATATGGTTGGTCGTAGAGAAGCCTTTCCTGAACGCAGCCTGCTCACATGGTTGGTCAAGCATCTACATTTTCCAATGATCTTTGTGAACAATGGATGCGTACCTCCACAGAATTCAAATAGCTGAATTATAGAATGAATCTAGATTTGAAGCCTTCGTGACTGCAAGGATTAATACTCTTTGGTTTTTTTCGGTAAAGTCACTTAGGTAAAACAATCAATAAAATAAAATAAATGAAAACAACTAAATTAAATCACAACGTTTCGGAGGCAACACAAGCTTCCTTCATCAGGTGTAGAAAAATGGCACAGCAAAATAAACCTCGTGATTTAATTTAGTTGTTTTCATTTATTTTATTGATTGTTTTACCTACGTGACTTTACCGACAAAACCAAAGAGTATAGAATGATGCTAAATAGTATTTTTCGAAAAAAAAAGTCAACAAATCCGACTCGAAGAATGACAGACCACGTTAGCCTCTTGGATTTATGTTACACATATTTTTAAAGGGCACGACAACAGCTGACGTAATGAGAAACTGCCTGGTTCTTAATTCATTTTTAATCATTGCCCCCACTGCCGCTGGCGAAACGTGACTTTGATGTACAGCTGGGGTTAAAGAGGATTACTTAGAATGTTTTCATTGCAATTGCAATTATAGCACCTTGAGACGTAAAAGGTAACCTACAGTTTGTGAGGTGACGCTCCGCTCGTGTGAGAGTTCATCAATTCGGGTTATTCCCATGCCCGGAGAGGATCCGTGTCCCTGTGTGCAGTATATTGCCTGTTGCACATGAAACGTGTATGCCAATGACTATTTCAAAAGTTTGGAAATGAAAACTGAAACATCTCACGTTAAGTAAATAATCCTTTCGGTGAGATCTCTGTGAAGTTTTGAAATGAGAGAATATTTTACGTGTTCTTCAAACTGGTTTTCTGATCTTTGTGAGTATCTTAAAATCTACATGTACACTGCAGAGCATGCTTGCATGCATTACAATATTTTGGTAATAAAAATACACGTCTGTCTCTATATAAATAGATGCACATATTCAGATAAATTAACATTTCGGTGCTCAATCAAACACATTTCTTTCAATACCATACATCTATAATAAAGATGTGTCGAGCGCATATTTTGTAATTGCATACCAACGCTTTGCTTTGCTCGACATTAAAAAAAACCCTGAAACATAATGACTACCAACTGGAAAGAAATGTAAAAAAAAATTGGTGCGGGTATATTGAATGCTTCAATACAATTCTCAAAATGTTTTGCAGTTGACAAGGCCATTCTGTATTTTTGGTTTCCCTGACGTGTTTCTGAGGTGTACTGCTTGTTGTTCAGTAAAACGTCCAACGTTTTGCTTCAAGTGGAACGTCAAACATCACGCCGAACCAACAACATGTTACAACTCTAAATCCCACCGCAGGGCTATACAGCACAAGCATGAAAACCTGCACACAGTAGGACGTCTCTCACCATGCCTTTTGTCTCTCTCTACTGCCAGGACCGTGGGAGGAATGTCGAGGCGAAGCATGTGGAGCGGGTGGAACGCAGGTCAGGAAGGTGTGGTGCGAGCACGTGGAAGGCTGGACCACGCTTCGATCGAACTGTTTGCAGGCTGAGCAGGGGGAGGCCCAGGTAGTGTCTGAGCGGCCTGCCTCTCAACGGGAGTGTTTCCACGTTTGCGAGGAACACCGTGCGCTGGCGACCTGGTATGTTGGACAGTGGAGACCGTGTGAGCCTCGTCCAGACTTAAACTCCCCATCGCTGGCGCCTGTCTGTGGGAAGGATGGACTGCCTGGATGGAAAAAGCGAGATGTCGTTTGCACGTGGAAAGATAACGGAACAGAGGTGCTCGACATGGAGCAGCTGTGCCGGGTGTTTGATCCAAGACCATCTGACCAGGAGTCGTGCACCGCTGCCTGCCCACGTGATTGTGTTGCGTCAGAGTTCTCCACCTGGTCCCCGTGCGAGCGTGCCTGCGGTGCAGACTCGGGCCTGCAGTACCGCACACGCACCGTGCTGGTGCCACCAGAGTTTGGAGGAGCGTTGTGCCCCAACCTCACCGAAGTCCGCAGCTGCCGAGATGCCTCTTCTTGTGATGGGGGAGACGGTGGCTTCAAGTACAGCCTCAGAGTCGGACCTTGGAGCGACTGCAGACCGGCTAGAATCGGACGTTTCATTCGGGATGTGGGACACAATGCAGAACCAAATGGTACCAATTTCAGCAGGACTACAAGAGCCGAAATGCGCAATAAAACGGCACCCGATTTTCCAGTCAACGGTACTTCTACCGGATTGCCTCGAGAGGGTCTAGAATTAAAACGATGGACCAAGGAGCAGTGGAGATCGACGCCTCATGATTGGCCTCGAGGGGGGTCCCCTTGGGATGTGCAGATTGGCTATCAGAGCCGGCAGGTCCGGTGCATTAGGAGCGACGGAAAAAACGCCCCACTGACGTAAGTCCCATTTGCTGCGCTGACGCTTTTCACCAATCGATGCGTAGTTTTCCGAATTAAGATAATGTTGGCTATTAACATTTGCGCAAAAACAATTTTGTTTTCCTTAACAGCTGTGGTGGAGAAGGTGACACAGTTGTGAGTGCACTGTGCTACCAACCCAGCAACTTAAGTTTGATTCCCAACCGTGGCTCTAACATCAGTGGCGAGCGATATCTGAACTGTTCCTGGGCTCCCACAGTTTTTCCAACTCACGCCGACCTCTGTGATGACATACATGGGGAAGGCCTTCACCCAGCAGTGGCTTGAAAGGGGATCGTCGATATATAATCATTTATGAACAGTTATCTGGAATTAAAACGTGCCTGAGCGGACATTTACCGGGGAGATTGAGTGGTGAAATCAATGTGCGTGCAGGTGCCTTCTGGAATGATTTAACATCGCACGACCGGTAGACGTGGCAGCAGCTCGGTGGCGGATTGACCACGGCGGCGGCGGCCACTGCCGATGACCACGGTGACTCTCCTTCGCAGCTTGTGCCTGTCGGAGAGCCCCTCGCCGGCCTTCCAGCCGTGCCTGCTGCCACGCGACTGCGTGGTGACGGAGTGGGCGCCCTGGTCAGCGTGCTCGCGGACATGCCGCGGACCCGAAGGCGGCATGGACGCGGGCCTCGGAGTTCGCACGCGCTCCCGCTCGGTGCGGGTCAGCGCCCTCGGAGGGGGCCAGGTCTGCCCCCCGCTCGTCGAGCGAGAAAATTGCAGCGAGGAGGCCGGGGAGACGCTGACGCCATGTCCACGGTAAGCACCCCCGAGGGGTTTTCTTGGTTTGAGAAGTCACCGGATTCTGATTACTGATTATTTCGTGTTGGGTTTGTTTTTTGTGCGTGTTTTTAGTTTGTTGACCTTTCCCCCACACCTCCGATTAGGCATGGTCGGCTACGTACGGTGCGAAAGAAGTTCAACACACACCCATACATTTGAGTTTTTGTTTAGTGAGTGATGTGACGTAATCCTTCTTTTTAAGTATCACAGTCGCTGAGCACGAGTCCCCACAACATCCAAGCGGCCAGCAACAAACCGCACTCGTTGAAGGTGTTATAGATGAGAGCTAATACGTTAGAAAGTTTGTTAAAGAGGCGATGCGGGGGAATTCTAGAGTCGAGCAGTGCGAGCAAATAAATGGAGAAGTCTTTCGTACGGCAGCAATGGTAATTGAGCACAGTGGGGTATTAGGGAACAAAATAAACATTAATTTGATTACTGGCTTACATTTGTGGCTATTTTCTTCAGACATACATTAAGTAGAGTTCGTTTTTGGAAATAAGCAGAATGCATAAGCATGTTTTTTATCTGGCAAGAAAGGCCTTGGTTTGATTTCAAAGTCGGCCACCTTCATGTTGCGGAGTTTGTGCGTGTGGGTTTTCTCTGGGGGTTCCGTTCCCCCCCCCCCCCATAGCTAAACACATACAATATCATTGGTGAAGGCCAGACAACTCAAATGCAGGACGCTCTTGAAAAAGAGTCTTCCTGGATAAATAATATTATATGCTATGGCTGCTGCTGTCCTCATGTCAACTCCGGTTTGCTGACATGATAATTTCCACATATGTTTCGTTAAATACTTTTTTTTTTATTCTGTATGAATATGAAAGTAATTCGCTAAATTGTTATCTGGTACATTGTGATTGGAGCAATACAGCTGGTTAACATTGATACAATTGGTAATTTGATTACAGTAATGTATTATGTGTAACTGCTGCTGAGCATAAGTGTCCCACAAATCAAACATTCGCTGCTACTGACGTTCAAATGGAACAGCTTGCAACCGGAAGATTAGAACTTGAAGAACCGTTTAAATGATCAGCTTATAATATAAAGGCTCGGTCTCTCTCACCTAATGTATGGGGAGATCTATACCACACGGTCTCTTCCCGTTGCGATCAAGCGTGATAACGAGTCGGAAAGTCCCGTGTGACTTACTGCAATGGAGAAGAACAAAAATTAAGAGCACACGCCATCTCCCGTGTTCACGATGAGCACTTGTTTTAAGCACCGGGACTAAAGGATTCCACATCACTGTAACTGTGGAGAGAAAACACAGGCAATCATTCCATTGTTGCAACCAGTGAAGAGACGCGCGGCCAGTCCTGTTGTGCAATTTGCCAGTGAATGGAGAAGATGTGTTTGACACGAAAGTCTGGGCTATGAGTTCATCTGTACACTCTTGTGGGCGTTGACATTTTCCTTCCCACTCGCAAGGTGCTGATTCTCTCTCAGCTTTAAAGAGCAATACGGAATTTGAAAGCAATGGTGGAACAAATACACACAACGAGTAATACTTATTCAACAGAAAAGAAAGGAATGCCATTGGCAGCTGCGTACGATCACAGATAGAAAATAATTTCGCCACATTTGTTATTTTCCACTCCTTCATACAGCAACATAGACATTCAGTAGGTTCATATTTCAGGCAACGGTGATAGCTGCTCTGTAAAAGGGCCATTGCATGAAACTTAACTCACTACATTATTTTTATTGTGTACAGGGTGTTTAAAAACGATGGACCCGATTTGAAATCGCTATATCTCTGCAACCACGAACCGCCCATGAATGAAATTCGTACCACTTGAGAGTTCGGGGCATAAAGTTTCAAATGATTACTGCGAGATGCCTCTCCCAGTGCACAAACAGCCCCTAGCCTCAGTTATTCACAAGATGGTGACCCCACAACACAACAAGGCGTTTTGCGTTCTGCAGTTCAGCAAAACTGAATCCGTAATTGCGGTGCAGGGTGCGTTTCAACGGCGTTTTGGCATTGATCCGCCAATGTCAAAGAGCATTCGTCGTTGGTACCGACGATTTGAGGAAACGGGCTGTTGATGTAAGGGGAAGAGCACAGGGCGACCATGCACCTCAGAGGAACACGTGAGAAGAGAGGCGTTTGGGACAAATTCAACTATCGTCTCGATGTTGTCCGTACAGCTGGTGGAGGGCACATAGAGCATTTATAAAATGGCTAGTAAAACCTGATAACTCATGAAACCGGTTGTAACTGTTTGTGTAATTGTAACATGTTGCCATCGTGAAATATACTGCTTTGAAATTGGGTAATTTTTTTGCAATACCCTGTCTATCAGGCCTGAGCAATCCACTGCGTGTATCTGAACGCGAGTTGATTCATAATCCCCCTCTGTGCGGTGGACATCCTCTGAGGCATGTTTCTTCCTTTGGCTGCTCCTCATTCGTTAGTTGTATCTCTCTGACAGATATCTACAATTTGTTTGACAAACCTGTCGCTATGAATAACTTTAGTGAAAGCGTGTCTCTTGGTCCGACTTCTCTTCTACTCATACCTGTGTGTATTGGTCGCACCTTCTTCAGTTTTCAGTTCCAGTTTCAGTTATTTGGAATAACCCTGTGAGCCGTTCGGCTCTTGATTCAGGTGCAACCGCAACAGACAATCAAATTACAAGATACATTTAAATTACAAGATAGATTCTTCATATCACCTCAGTGCAGCTATTCTATTTGGCGCATTTACATGAGCATTTGGCCGCACTGCAGGACAAAAAGTACATAAATAACAGATAACGTTAACCCACGCCATTGAACCACATGACGATAACGAAATGAGAAACTTTCTTAAAACAATTTTAAGCTTTCGTGACTGCAGGGATTCATTTTCTTGGTTCTTTCGGAAAGTCACGTAGAAGGGAAATAATAAAATAATAAAAATAAAACATAATATAATTATTCTCACGACGTTTCGGCCACAATGCAAGCAGCCGTCCTCAGGTGAAGAACAGGTCTGTCGGGAAGGCAGCGTCTGAATTCAGACGCTGCCTTTCCGACAGACCTGTTCTTCACCTGAATTCAGACGCTGTCTTTCCGACAGACCTGTTCTTCACCTGAATTCAGACGCTGTCTTTCCGACAGACCTGTTCTCCACCTGAGGACGGCTGCTTGCGTTGTGGCCGAAACGTCGTGAAAATTATTTAATTACGTAAAATTTTTATTATTTTATTATTTCCCTTCTACGTGACTTTACCGAAAGAACCAAGAAACTTTCTAAAAACAATCAAGAGAGAGCTTGTAACAGTTTCTTACCAAATTCGAAATATGTTTTACCGTCCTCAAGTGTGGCTGTTGTTATGTCGCCAACCGTGGGCGACGGTGAGGGCTCGGGCATGTCCCTTCATCCAGCGGTGCATCTCCGATTTAGCACGGTTGGCTATGTATGGTGTGAAAGAGGGTCAACATTGCTTGTCGCGTCCATTATTAAATGGGACATATTTCAACTGCCTTGCTGGAAAGCACTCTCTCTCTCTCTTGCTCTCAGATCATTTCAAATGCCTCCAAAAGGCACCACCGTTTCCAACTACAGCATAACTAATTTAAGGCACACACTCCCGCGCCGCCGTTTTTAGATTGTCTCTCACACTCTCTTCTGGACTGTGGAATGAACAGAGGAGGGTAACTGCATACATCTTAATTCTGCACCCAATTGGCTTTGTGCCTCCGTTGCATAGCGTGATGCATTGAGGTGGGATTCTAGAGGTTATTTGTTAATGTGATTCTGTGATTGTCTTTTCAGTGGTGGGGAATGCCATTTAAAAATGCTGCAAATAAATAAATAAGGAAATAAATTGCAAGCTACAATTTAATGACTAAAAATGCAAATCTATGCCGTTTATAATGATCTGTTGTGCTTTTGAACATTTAGAAAAAGATCAGAACACGTCCCCCCCCCTCTTTGTTACACAAGCCAGTGCATCTTTGAAGGCAATTTATTAGGAGAAGCGGTAGAAAATCCTGAAGAGAAAAAAGCAATGTTTGTATAAATTATGCTTGAAATTAAAGTAACACAATCAGTCGTGCCACATGCAAATCTCTGTGCCATGTGCCACGTTACTTTGGAGTTTAACTACTTAAAACGAGGAATGGAAAAGTGTTGATGTGAATGCATTTTCATTTTGAAGTGAAGAGAGATGGATGGGCTGATATGGGTTTGAATTACTGGCACGTGAAGCCAAAACAAATGCTGAAAGAGCTGAAAATGTCAGTTAGCTCAAAGCCATGCACAGTTTTGCATTTGATGAGCTGAGGTTGATTGTATTTGTTTTTATCTGCCAGTAAGTGATGTACACGGGCATTGTAGTAACGTCTGTGAGAACTGGATTGCTTGCGCATGCTTGTACGTCTGTGCGTGCAGATCTGTGCGTTTGCAGAGAGCACTGGTACAGTGGTTAAGGCAATGTACTCTGAGCACCACGAGCCAGGTTCGAGTCCTAGCTTTGGCTAACATCAGTGGCTCGTCATATCTGAGCTTGTCTGGGGCCTTAAATGAGGATGCGGTGCAATTTGCAAAAAGCATTAGCACTGGCGAGAAAAGGCGTGTGGTGTCTGGGCCGCACCGCTGCTCCCCGTGGTGCCTGCTGGCCTTCATCGATAGGTGCTCATGAATGGCACTGGCCCCAAACAGTCTGTTGAAGGATACACCTCCGATTAGGCGACTTTTCCCGCACCTCCGATTTAGCGCGGTTGGCTACGTGCAGTGCAAAAGAAGTTCAGCATCATGCATACGTACGTACGTGCGTACACGGCGGGGGACCATCGGTCTCTTTGTGTGCACAGATTTGTGTGGAAGGTGGCGCAGTGGAGCGAGTGCCGCGTGGAGCTGGTGATGGGAGCTCCGGAACGGAGGCGCGCCAACCACACGGGGCTGTGCGGTGGAGGCCTCCGCACTCGCGACGTCTACTGCATCATGGCCAACGAGAACCTCATCCTGTACCTAAACTCCCTGCATGAGCGGCAAGGTGGGCGAAGCTTCGAGCGCTGCCCAGCTCCGACGAGAGCAAAGCGGTGGCGAGATTGGCACTCCGCAGCCGGCGCTCGTTCTGCTGCATTATCAGCGCTCGCCGGTTTCACCGAGCCTTAAAAAATCGACACTGTCAAATTAACATTATCCTCCGGAGGCAGAGCTTTCATTACCAGAGGGCCTCTCTAAACAACCTACAGCAGTCGCTCCAACACAGCGTGTTGGGGCATTTTTCGAATCCTTGGAAATGTGGTCGCAGCTTTTGCATTGCTGCTTTACTTGGGAGCATATGGGTCAACATGGGCATCAATTGCCATGCTTTGTGTGTCACTAAGAAAGAAAATGTGAGAATTTTAAAGTGAAATTTTCCGCATAGAAAACAAACTTTGCACATGTAAAGCAATTCATTTTCTGACACCCTCGTTATTAAAGGTGCTACAGATTCAATTAAAAATACAGGAATATGGACATTTTTAGTGTAAGCAATAAAAAAGTTGAGCTCTATATATTACCATCTGCATTGCTTTTTTTTATATCGCTAAGTGTTAAACATTTAATCCTTTGTTATTCCGATGACACATTTAAATGGGTATACTCTTGTGTAGATATGGTACAATTTAATTGCTTTTACAAGTAGCCAATGACGAGTACGAGCTACTGACTCTAGCACTGCATTTGTTTTCCTTTATGTATCTGAAAAAAATCCATTTACTCGAATCGTTTAGAACACAGAAAACAGCAATGATTTGCGTGAATTAAATAATTTTCTCAACATAATTAGGCGCAATAGATAATGACTTTATCCCTTGCGAATGCATTTGCTTTATTGATAGCCAGGATTATTATTAGCAGCACATTAATAGCCGGTGCAGCGTGCCACTTAGTCACCTTGACTTGGCAACGCAAATCCTGCTTAATGGCCCATAAAGCTGCATTTTTCTTCTTCCTCCGCCAAAGGTGCAGAACATCCTCATTAAAAAAAGGAGATTCATTTGCAGCTTAATGCATCGGAAAAAAATAAATATCATGCCCATTAGTGGTCAATGATGGCTTGGCGTTTTGTTGTCCACAGAGATGCTGTCCAAGTCAAGAATGAGGCCAACCGTGGCACCATCTCTCTCCATTTCCTACGAGATCTCAGGTAAAACCGCTTATTGCTCTTGATGTGAATTTTATTACCTTCTATATGCCGTGTGAAAAAGGCAGTACGGGGAGGTTATTTATTTATTTGGGTGTTGCAATTTAAACCTGTTGGTTTTTTGAGCCAGTAGCGAAGCGAACGGGGAGGCTATATTAATCTAAATTGTTATTGTTGACGCATTGACGGTGTGTGTGCATGTTTGGCACGCGCGCAGTTAAGGCATCGGATCACTGTGTGCCTCGCAAGACCTGCCAGTGGTGCTCGCCTCAACCAAAACAAATAGCACTCTCGATGTTGAAAAGCATGGACGTGCCAGTCAATTCCACGTAACGCCAGCGTTGTTTGAGCACAATATCTCATCTTGGTTCTTACACAGTATCGCCGCAGGTGTCACCAATATGCCTAATTAACTGAACACAGTGCCGTGTAATTAAGCATGATAGATGAACGTTAGGCACTGACTTGTTTTGGCGAGTGCATCACTCTGCTTCTGTGCCATTGCGCTGTGCGGGTTATTTGAAATGTTAACGTTCAAACATTTGTATATTCCAAAGCATACATTGAGTGTGCTGCATTTTAACTGCAAACACTTTGCAGATGAAATGCTGCACCCCTTGGCAAAAGTTACGACAGTAAGTCCGCATATGCAAATAACTGATGGGGCATCCCTTTAGCGTCGATGTCAAGTGTGCGAAGCGTGATTTGGATTTTGAACACGGAGTTAGTGTGAGCACGGGGCGCTGTGCTGAAATGCAACTCCTTGAGTGGAAAATAACTCAAATTCAAACGTGACAGAGCTGCAAACACCAGTCTGCAGAAAGTGCCCCTGCCATGCGTCAATTGTGGAAGACTTAATGTCAGTCCAGAAACATTCTCAAATTGTAAATTGGGCTTGTTGTGTTGGTCATTAGCGTGATGTTTTGAGTGCTGAGGAAAGAGATTGGCTTCCCGGGGAGTGGTGCGTGTTGATATTCTGTCAGCCATACACCGCACACGCAACGAACGCTCCGTGATTTCCCCCCCCCCCCCCCCGCTAATGTTATGGTTCCTGCTGTTGTACACATTTTGTTTTCACGCAAGAAATAATCATTTGTTTGTTTCTAGCTTCACAAATTCTATCAACTCGGAAGTGTGACTTTTTTTTTTAAGGGAGGAGGGCATACAAAAGTATGGGATGGAGGGAAACAGCCATTGTTAAACAAACTTAAAACAAATCTTAAACGCTAAACAATGTGACGATATGATCCAATTTCGTCTTTCGTGCATTCTGCTCTAGCTCTCACCTGTGTATATGAGGAAAGTATGTCACTCCCATCTCTTAATTGAGAATTTAGAAGGGACTGAGTCACCTTAAAAGCACCCCCCCCCTCCGTGGATACAATGAATAATAGTAAATAATCTGAAACTAAAACGATGCAAGGCATCGCGATTAATTTTTTCAAGGGTGCTTCGAAGTCACTTTTTTAACGAGACTCTTAAGGCTCGGGTGTTTATCATATGTAGCACAAGAGCCAGGACCTACAGGCAGGGTTCTCTTCATGTCAGTGTCAAGTGCTCAAGGGCTCCCACTGGGTGGATGTGTACGAAACGAGGTCGTGTAAATCTGGGCATCTTACCACTGCCGTGTTGCGAACAAGTACGTTCTGCCCGGAAGTCATTGCAAACAGTGAAAACGGACCACGCAGCAATTTATGTGGAGGCAAAAGCTGCGTTTATAATGGACACACGTAAAAGAGATGATGAGCGGTGGCAGGTGACTGCGAATGGATCCGCAGAAGGCTCGAAAGGGCGTGGCAGAGCCGCGTGGCAGAGCCGTGTGTCAGATGTGTAGGCGGCATCAAAGGTGGATCAAGAGAGCGAGTTGAAACGGATCGGGGAAGAAGCGTAGAACTGAAGAGAACTTAGAAGCAGTGACGCATTGAGGCAGTGAGAGCAGATGAGCCCCAACAGTGGTGAAGACCAAAGGCTTGAAGAGAAGAAGAGTAGAAATATGCATCCATAAACGCAGCAGTTGGATGGATTAGTTGCCGAGTGCGACTACTCCTGCACCACATTTCATATTAATTGCCCATACAGTTTTTACTTCGCTTTCTACTTGGCACACAATCGACATTGTAATGGTTCCTCTGGAAAAACGTAAGGCTTATGAATGACATTACCTTATGTGGACAAGTAATTCATGGATAAATGGAACTGAAATGGCTGGATATAAAAGTATGAAGGTTTGTTCCACATGTAATTCCGTAGCGATCAATGAAACTTATTTTCACACCAATGACAATGGAAGCCAATGGTCATAAATCTGGTTAAGCAAACTATTATATCACTGCTAATTATGCTGAAATTGCTACAAGTTGCTAAACGTGTATAATGTTAACTAATTTTCTTGGCAAAATCAGGATTTGCTGGAATGTGAACAAGAAATAAATATGCGTGGCATTAATGGTTTTCTGGAAGCTTGCCTCCTACGGCAAATCTCTGTGATGAAACCGACTTTTCTCTTAGCTCACGTGTGAACACTCATCGCTATGCCGATTCTGTTACATCGACCCAATGTATTTTATTGACCCATTGTATAGCACGTACGTACGCACGTTTCATGGCAAGCTTTTACGAGAGACCAGCAACAGGGCACAGAAGTGATCTGTTGCTGGTCGAGCACTAGAGGGGCACTCTGAGTGGCCTCCTCCTCCAGTACTCTGCCTTCAGTTACGTCAACGCAAGCTGCCTGTTCAACCTGGGGAGAGAGGCTCCCTGACAACCGTCAGTACTGTCCCACAGTCTCAGCAGCCAGACCTGCAGCTACGGGCTCTGAGTCCAGTCCAGATTCATTTGACTCAACTCAGGTTAGAGACTGGCAAGGTCGAACCTGGAAACTGGAAGCCACCGTGACCCCGAAGATTCATATTTCTCTGATGTGATAATGTTGATTGTTCTGACTGGAGCTGTGAAGGTCAGAGCTAGAATCACTGTGTTAGAGGTGAGTGTTATGGTCATTATTACAACAATGAAAGTAAAATAGAATAGAATACTGTAATGGAAATTAAATAATTTTATTGTTGGAAATAATTACATTGTTACAATCATAACACAGACAATAATGCAAATTCTACGACACAATACAACCGGATGTATGTGGCATCCAAATGCGACCACATCTCAAGATGCTGTACAGAAACAGGTGGCAGATTTATGATGTACAGCGAGGCAGTCTGTCGTAGGCAGAGGAATCGAAGCAAGTTCTGGAGAACCCAGTTTAATCGAGGGCGGCTTATATGTAGGTTCAGACTCGGGATTTCTGTGGTGTCGGATCAGTGGTTTGACTTTGGCATTTGTTTCCCAAGCCACTCCGTCACATAATTTAAAAATATGATTAATATCCTTACATGGCAGTCTTAAAAGCCACATCATCGATTATATTTCCAATAAAGGCATCGTATACAGTATACAAATAACAAATATAAGTGGTGTGGCTCTAACAGATGCTTTTCAAGATAATTTATCCCATTAATCATGAATGATGACCTTCCTATTATGGAATGATTATACTCTGCCAGATACAAGAAAAAAGACAAAACTCCCAGCAACAATTACTGGCAAAGAAAATCAATTGGCAAAATATGTGAAAGGCACAAGAACCACAAACCACTTTGGCATTCAAACCAATCAAGGTGTTTCACAAACAGCAATGTCTGGTCAAAGATGTTTTATGGTGAGGCCGGCAAGTCATGCTTCACGAAATTCGTTATTATTTTTTTTTACTCCAATTAGGAATGTCGCGTCACACGATGCAATCAGTGTGCCAGTGAAGGTTTGTGCCACGAACGTCGTTATCACATCGTATAGGCAAGGACAACCTGTTCAGATTGGTGAGACAAACCTCACAAAACTCGTTAATATTCATAATCCATCCCAAGTTTCTGCCTAAGGGGCAGGTCCATGGCTGAAGCTACCCTCCATTCTGTCAGATCCATTCCCAGCCCCTCTTCGACTCATCACACTCCACGGGTGCCAACTTTTCATAAAGACTGCACGTGTGCGTTTCATGTAAATTCTGGGGTGAAAATTGACGAGCGGATATAAGTTTTAAGGTAAAATAATGGAGATAGCTACCATGTTATGAATGCAATTACGCGTTTATGCAAATACACAAGTAAAGTTCATCGTAGTTTTAAACAAGGAACAATTTTCATGCATAGGCAACATGCTTTCTTGCATTTGTCCGTGGAAGTATTTAATCGGTGATAATAATATTACCTCCCGAGGTGCACAACAAGATGACGTTGCTCGTGATGACATCACGTGATATTCTTTTTTATTGAAAAGGTATTTAGCGCTGGTTATGTATTGCCATGATTTTGGGGAATCCTTTCATCAATTTGCTGGGTTTTTATAAAGTAGGCCCCTAATAGCAACATAACTTTATGCAATTTTTTTATTTTGGATCTTGTTTACGAGAATTACTATGACACCACGTTACAGTCTGATAAACAGATATAGCTAATTCATTGATTAATTATTTCATCCTTAATTAGGAAGCATTAGAATAAATAATCTGATAAAAAATGTGGGTTTCTCCTTAAGACTGGTCATGATGTTCTGTTTTAAATGGTAAATAAAACGTCCAAGTTTAAGGGAACCACTGGCCCTTCACACAAGCTATGCTACAAAGAAATCTTAATTTCATGGGAAAAAATATTTTCTCATTCTGAGAGCTGGAATTTTTCCAATAAATTAAACCAATTCTCATTTATATAATTGTTTTTTTTCTCATCATTGGTGACTGGACTGAGACCATCAACTGAAATACCTGAAAACACACTTTAATCACGAGTGGCTGAAACCCAGATTCAAATCCATAATCTCGGTGTGCTCGCTCGGTGTGCTCGCTCGGTGCTATGACCTCTGAGCCACCCAGAAACCTCCAGTAATGTATATTTTAATGGAGTCCATATCTGGAAATTGTAATAGTTAGAGGTAAAGCCCTGCAATTGCTTGCGCACATAACGCTCGGCATAAGGCCCTCCACTAGAGGGAGCTCTAGAGAACCCTTATAGGGGCTATTTGGCCTGCTCTTCCATTTATAACGCTGTGTGGAAAAAGGTAGGGGAATTTAAGAACCCTGTCCATTCTTTTAACTGCTTTGCCAAGTGGTGGAATTGAACTGGAAACTCTAGCCCGTTACACCATGGTAGCATCACTCAACGTTGTAATCCTGTACCATAATTTATTCAAAAGGATTATCGATTAAAACAAACTTTTGGTCATGGAAATCAGGCTCGGATGGACAACCCCACTCTCAGGTGAAGAACAGGTCTGTCGGAAAGACAGCGTCTGAATTCAGGTGAAGTACAGGTCTGTCGGAAAGACAGCGTCTGAATTCAGGTGAAGATCAGGTCTGTCGGAAAGACAGCGTCTGAATTCAGGTGAAGAACAGGTCTGTCGGAAAGACAGCGTCTGAATTCAGGTGAAGAACAGGTCTGTCGGAAAGACAGCGTCTGAATTCAGGTGAAGATCAGGTCTGTCGGAAAGACAGCGTCTGAATTCAGGTGAAGAACAGGTCTGTCGGAAAGACAGCGTCTGAATTCAGGTGAAGAACAGGTCTGTCGGAAAGACAGCGTCTGAATTCAGGTGAAGAACAGGTCTGTCGGAAAGACAGCGTCTGAATTCAGTGAAGAACAAGTCTTTCCGACAGACCTGTTCTTCACCTGAGGACGGCTGCTTGCGTTGTGGCCGAAACGTCGTGAGAATTGTATTTTATTATGTTGTATTTTTATTATTTTATTATTTCCCTTCTACGTGACTTTACCGAAAGAACCAAGAAGATGAACCCCACTCTCGTGTGTTGCAGCGTCGCGACCAGTGGACAACAGCCTGTGTGGTGTGGATAAGCCTGAGACGCTGCAGGCATGTTCAGTGCCCTGCCCTGCTGAGTGTCGCTTGACCCCGTGGACAGCCTGGGGTCCCTGCACCTTTGAAAACTGTGGAGAAACCCCCGGCAAGAAAGGTACCTCGTGGAGAAGGCAGCAGCGGCTGCTACGCCGAGGAATGGCTCAAGCACAAAAAAATGTTCACGAGCCATCGCAGGCAGGGGATCAACAACACCGTGGATTAATGCTTTGTCGAACTGGGCGACGGCTCACCAATCATCCCTCCATGGGAGGCCGAAAGGCCGCCGATTTCACTTTTTTTTTTACAACAGCTGCAGCGCTGCCGCTGAAATATGAGGAGCTGTGAAGCACGTCTGCGGCGTTCCGTGCATTTGGGACAATAATAAGGAGGCAGGATGCCATCTACACGAAATTGAATGCTGCTGTGCAGGAGCACACCGCGCTGAAAAGCCATAACTGTATGTGCCGCATAAAGTGACAAAGGATTCATATTAAAATAGGATTGGGTAAATCATTGCAGCAAATCAATTTCATGGCTTTTAACTTGATAATAAAGTATTAAACTGATCCACAAATGCAAATCTGGTTAATTTTTATTTAAAATTTTTTTGGCTTTTAATTAACTTTTAATACATTTCATGGCTTATAAAACAAGCATATTTCACAATGTAGCCAACAGGCTTATGAACATCTTTTTGTGCTATTTTTCATTAAGATTAACACATGCTCCAGTGTGTTCTTCCGCACCTTACCCCGCCACCACCACCACCAGCATATTTAAATGCAATACTTGTATAAATCACGAATGGTAAAACGCTTTTTTAAACCCTGTGGAATTCACCGTCGGCTCCGGATTAATTGCTCGACGATGACATTTGTTGCCCCCGTTGGTTCAAATGCATCGCCCAAGGATTTAAACGCAGGAGGAGGCAAATTGTGAGGGAGGCGGCGGCGGGCGGCGGCGGCGGCGGCGGTGGAGAAGGCGACTGCTCTCACCTGGCGGAGGTGCTGCCTTGTGACGATCCCGCGTGCTTCCGCTGGGAGGTGGCCGGCGTGGGTGCCTGTTTCCCGGAGGGTGGAGCTCGCTGCGGGACGGGCGAGCGCGACCAGTTGACCGTGTGCAGGAAAGACACGGGTAAGGGAAATGTGAGAGGAGGAGGAGGAGGGGGGGGGAGCTGCCTGTTCCTCCACACAATACGGCTGCCGATGGCGACACACACACACACATTCCTGGTCTTTGGCTTGGATGGCCGCCGCGTTGTTTGTTGTGTGTGGACGTAAATATTCGGCATTAAGTTTGAGCTGTCTCTGCACGGCTTGTCGTCCTCTTTCCAGGTTTGTGCTGCTGCTTCTGTCCCAACAATTATCGCAACTGCTCCTCCCATTGGCATGTAATTAACCCAAATTAATTATATATTTAATTCGTTAGATTTAAATTCATAATTATTATTATTGGTGGAATGATTAATCCCCTCTCCCCTGCCTCCACACCACCACCATTCTGCCAACAAACTATTCCCAAAGCGAATTGGATAATTCGTTATGATTCAACGCTCATGTCATGAGCTTAAGAAGCAATTTTAATTGATTATTTGCCGCATCATTCTACCCTTCATGATTATCGCCACCATATATTTTCAGAACAGTATCCAGAAACTTCATCGCATTTATTCACAAAGTGTACACCATTAACGATGTGCATGCGTCAACTAAAATATTAATTGTGCGTACATATATATGGTGGCTGTAAAGTTTTGACATATTGCATTGTGCGTGTGTGTGAGAGAGAAGAAAATATGCATAAAAGGGATGGAATATTGACTTTCAAAACAGAGCTATTTTACCCCTGCTGGGTGATTGATCTGCCATTCTTGTGTAATGTATGACCCATTTCCCTTTGCCAGATTACAAGTCAGGCTCTTACAGATAATGAGAACGGGTGTCTCTCGATTTAATTTTGGTGCCAATCATCCCACACCAGCGCCAGACACATATTTAGTTGCTCGGAATCATTCAGCATCACAATTGGCAATTTTGAACCAAATAATAAAGTGGTAATGTCTCATTTAACTCTCATTAATGTTCAAAGAAGAAGAAGAAGAAAATATGAAGACATTTCGGAAATCCCTCCACGATTTGCCATTGTAACAACGGTGATTTTATGCTTCATCTATGTCACACTAATCATGTAAATCAGAAAGGGAAATAAGATCTGCACACATGCGCACACAGTCGGGTGGACAGTGGTTAGCACACTGCGCTATGAACCCGGTGTAACAGGCTGTAGTATACCCCCAGGCCGTAGTATACCTGGGGTTAAAACGGCCTCGGCTAGATTATACCCGAGTATATTATGGCCTTGGCCAATTTATACTCTGGGTTATATAATGGCCTAGGCCAAATTATACCCCTCTAGGCCAAATCATACCCCCATGATAGTAATAGTGTTGAGCGATGTACACATGAATTACTAAATTTTTCCAACATTTTATTTAAAACTGTAAACACATAGACTGCTTCAACCAGAAAAACTTTAGTCATAATAACCCTAACCCTATCCCTAACTCTATCCCTAACCTTAACCTTATCCCTAACCATAACCCTATCCCTAACCCTAAAAGTGCTTCAATTGATCAAATTGAGATTCTTACTTCCATTTACACGCTTTTTAGATATCGAGTGAAGTTCGTTTGAACTTTCACATGGGGAATATTCTGACCTGTAGGGGTATGGTCTGGCCCAGTCGAGTTTAAACCCCCGGGGGGTCTAGTTTAGCCGAGGACACTTTATCCCCCCGGGTATACTCTGGCCTGGGCCAAACTATACCCGGGTTTAATCGGGGCAGCGGTTAGTTTAGCCTGTTACACCGGAAACCTTAATTCCATTTTGGACCAGGGCTAATATCAGTGAGCGAGTTACATCCGCACGTGTCTTGGCCACCCTACTGCCACCCCCCCCCCCCTCCATCCCTTTCACCAACCTGCAGTGACCAGCATGGTGAAGTATCGTAAAATCACCTCCATGACAAAAACAGCATGGGGAGGCCCTTATTCAGCACTGGATTGACAAACGGCTGTAAATTATTATTATTATTAAATGCTCATATATATGCAGTGCACATGTTTCGTGTTATTTACGGTATAAGGTTTGTAAAAGGTATTGTTGGGATAGGATTCAGGTTTTTGATGATGTGCTTAGAAAACCCATTACTTAAACTTGGGGCATTATCGACTGCTTTACTGGTTGTGCATATGCGTGGTGCGTTTGTGGAAAGTGTGATTTATATAGCACTTAACAAAGTCATTTCTGCCGAGCTGCATGGAAGAAATATTGTAAATTGCAGTGTCTTGCAGTGGATTTTTCTGCAATTCCGCAGGGATCTCAGAGATATCAATTACCCAATGAAAATGACAAACTCGGTCTACGTCAAGTTGCTTTCAGTAATCTGCAAATATTAAACAAGCTCAAGCAAAAAAAAACGATAGAACAAAAAATATAGCACACTGTGAATGTAAAGCTTGGTTGTTGTTGTGTTTGCTTACTTTACGTAATTATTTTGATACAATTTGCATTGGTAATTATGCCATAATTTAGACTTAAAGTTATTACACTTTGAGAAGGGCCATGCATCTAATCTACTCTCCATCTGATTGCTTCGCCTATGCATTATTGTGACCTTTTTTTTTACATCACCTCGGCTATAATCACTCACTCTTTGTTAATCAACATTACACACAGCCAAAGTACACGGTACAGAATGTTTCATTTTATGCAATGATATAATGCATGTGACATGTACATTTGTAATTCAGTTTGTAGGCAGACAAGCCAAAAGAGTCCAATACACTCAGGCTCTTGCAAAAAAAAAGAGATTTAATGCGATGCTATCGTTCATGGTTATGCAAATGTTATTGTATTATAGATGTTTACCCAGGGATGCCGCCATGCTGTGTTGGTTAGCGTGGAAGAGGAGGCCAAATATCTCCTAGAGAGGTTCTCCAGAGTTCTCTCAAGTGGATGGTCTTCTGTCAGCTGTGGAGTGAGGTAGCAATTGCAGGGACTGCACCTTTACCGACCTTGATCACACCCAATACCGACAGAGGAGTAAATGGGTGCACAAGACCAGTTGGTGACTTACAGGTGGAGACAGGTTTGGGCACTCACCGTTTCTATCTGGCCTCACCACTGTGGACAGGTTTTTCAAACTCCCGTCTGAGGATGGAGGAGGACGTGTGGAATGAGAGGAATTCAGAGCTGACCTGCACATCTGTGCCATATAATGCGTTTTGTAAGATAAACTCGGTGGCTGGAGCACTTTATATCTTTCGAGGAGAACCTGCATTTCCACCGTGTACCTGAGCAAATTGCATAACATTTGACGGATACAGCCCGACTTCAGGACATGTGATTTCACAGCATTGTCACGTTTGAGCGTAATGCCAATGCGTTGCTCCTTGGAGCCAGGAGAATTGGAGTTACAGAAAATCCATTTGTTACCAGGTGGGAGCTCACTCTTTTAGATTGCAGGATCGTGAGATATAGCAACGGTTTAGGGGGGCCTTAATCCAGCAGTGGATTGAACATGGCGAGATGATGATGAGAACTCTTCGAGACTGGACGTCTCTTTTATACGTTAAAATACAAACTGTTTAAATAGGAAGCAAATCCAAAGCGGTCAACATCAATGAAAGTAGTACAATTACAATACAATACACCGACTTAAATGAGGATGACACAAACTAGCCGAAGCATTTGCATTCAAAATTTTCAAGCAAAAAAATCCAGATGATGAATGTGGCAGATCTTGTTCTTTCATATGGCATTGTGAAAAGCCACAGTTTTTATTTTTTGTTAATGATCGTCATTAATGAATGCAAAGATGACTCATCCAGGGCAATGATGTGGTTGACGCAGTGTGAATTTCAGCGATACCGCCAGGATGTGCATGGATGGAGCATTCATCGGTGATGTGCTTGATGGTTTGGACTTCTCCACAGACGCAGTTGGGCGATTCTTTGATCTTCCATTTATGGAATGTGTACACGCATCTGCTGTGTGTGTTCGAGCGTGGTTCAGCGTGGTCCATAGTTGTCATGGAAGAGAGAATCCTGGTACTTCCACCGCCGGATTGTGAATGATGTTTTTGTTTTCCACGTCCATAGCCACCCATGATTCAGACCACCGAGTGGTGGTGTCTATATTGTCAGCTGCTAGGGCGGAGGCGCGTATCCAGCACGGTCTCCTGGATTTTAGCCTTGGGCGTGGGGGTTCCTTTAGATCTTGATAGAGCGGCAGAGTCAAGTTTTTCATTATCTTGTTGTTGCATTCCCGTGTCGTCACATCATTGCGTCGGATGTTGGCTGGAGTGATATTCGCCAGCACAGGAAGCCACGGGAGTGGAATAGACTTTAGGGAACCGCTGATGATACGACGTGAGTTATTAATTTCGGCATCGACAAGGTTCGTGTGAGGGCTTGCACCCCAGGGCTTGCGTCGATATGTTCAACATGCTGACATCGCTTCCCAGGTTGTTCCTGCAAGTTTCTGAATAATATTCACTCGTGCTTTTGTTTTACCTTTAGCTTGTTTGAGGTTGTGATGGTAGTTAAGCGTCCGATCCAGGGTAACTCCTAGATACCGAGAGTGTTCACCATGCCTTAGCATCGCCCCGCGGAAGTTAACGTTCAACGTTTTTGAAGCTTGTCTGTTGTTCAGGTTGAAGACGGAGACAATGCTCTTTGATGGATTTGGCTTAAGGCGCCAATTCTTGAAGTATTCTTCCAGAGTCTTCGAATATTTTTCGAGGACTGCCTCAGTGTCCTCCATTTTCCATGCTTGGGTTGCGAGTGCGATATCATCCGCATATGTGAACATCCGGCAAGATGTCGCTGGAATATCACTAGTATAGAGATTGAACAGCGCTGGTGCCAGAACTGATCCCTGCGGGTGTCCATTGTTTAATCTTAGAGGGCTTCTGGCAGCTTCACCTAGGTGGACGGTGAACCATCGGTTGCTCAGCATTTGTCTGATTTGTCTAATTGTGGGGCGGCAAGGCACAGCTTTCGCAGACTTCAGTATGAGTCCCTTCCGCCATCAGGTATCATAAGCTGAAGAGAGGTCGATGAAAGCTGTTGC